TAGAAGAATCTGTGTACGCCCACAGGCATTTTGCTTAGCCACCTAAGAACAAAGGCTGTTATATTTTTATTATTATTATTTTTTGGCTTTCATAAATGAAGCCTAACCAACACCTTGCTAAGGCAGATGGTTCTGCAGCTAAGAGACAGTCTAATTTGCCTGAGTCTCTATCTCAAATTGCCTTCCAGCCAGTGGTCATCATAAGTTAAGCTAAAGGAGGCAACCTTCATTTTGTTATGAGTTCTTGGCTTCTCTAGACAGTCCTAACTTGCTTTTCTTTTGTTCTTTCAAAAATTTAAGGTATCTTACTATATTTTATGTATCCTTATAAAGAATACATAAAATAAATAAATATAGGTAACTTCCAGTCACTTTTTAAAATTTAGGAGGAAACCAAAAAAATAAAATAAAATAAAATAAAACACAAAACCTTCCCACAAAGTGTAAATATTTGGTGCTAATGAGCACAGGAGAGAAAACTGCTATGTATTGTGCTCTATCTAGAACAAGGAGTACTGAATAATGTATGAAATGAAAATTCCTAGTCCAGAGCCAGAAGAAGGCTTTTTCACAGCTTGCTTAAATATTCATTTTAAAATATAGTACAAAAAAGTCTTTTGTTTTTTTCTTGATTAGCCTTGGAAAAAGGAAAAAGGCAATTTGTTTTCGAAACCATATTACAGGGAATAGGAAAATGTTCTTTTAGCATTAAGTTTCTTAATCTCTCTCCACCCCCTTTCATTTAAAACATTTCCTCATTTTGCCTCCTGAAAATATACTGGGCTTTTCTGAACCTTGAGATATTGCCTTACCAATTTTCTTAAAACAAACAAACCTAGCTTAGCAAGTATTCTGTGAACCCACACAACAACACAAAGAACTGGATGTTCTTTTAGATCTGTCCCGTATCATTCATGTCCCAAGTCAAACTTCTGTATGGTTACTGAAGCAAACTCTTTACAAATAAACTTCTTCATTTTTCCTACTTCAGCTCTATTTTCTCTTTGATCCATATTAAGAGAGCTAAAACCTGTACCATTCTTCCTTCTTTCTCCAAAAAGGAAAAAGTTTCAGGTTCAAATAAATTGCCGTGCATGAATGGCCTGCCAATGAGGTGGGGCAGTGGGACTGGCTTGCCCTAGGGTAACAAAGGGACCCATTTGCCTGTAGAGAACTTAGGGCAATAATGAAGACTACTAAAAGTTGATCGGCTTTTTATCACCAGCATGTGATAGTGATTCTAAATGTCAGTGATAAAAGACTCCTCTGTGAAGAGGCAAACCACTCTCACCCTGCCCCCAACTTGTTACACCCCCATATTGCACTGTTAATGAACAGAAGACTCTTTTGCAATTTTCCTTTGGATTGGCATGGTAGTCTCTGACTGTATAATTCTCAAATACAGGGAGAGACCACTAAATTAAAAAGTGGAAGATTTGGTAAAAGTGAATGAAACCTTTAAGATCCCTCCCAGGCTAATAGTATCATTTCTGTGACAGCGTGAGATCCTGTTCCTTTTTCATATTTGCACCAAGTTTTCAGGGCTACTGGAATCCTGTAAACACTACCATCAATCAGTGAGAAACCAGGAGATGGAGAAAGAAATGTTCCATAATTTTACTAAGCCTTGAGGGAAGTAACGGAAATAAAAACAAAAACTCAAGTCTTTCTTGCCATCCTATTCTCAAGGGATGTTAACAGTCACTTTATGTATCTGTACTGATAATTTCCTTAGAATTTTCTGCCTAGAGAGGTAGGGTTTACTTTTTGAAAAAAATCTTGGGATAAAAAAATGAAGTTTCTATGAAAATGATATATGGCATTCACCATGCTATCTTGATCCCTCCGTCTATCTTGAGTCAGGCCTAGTTCCATGCCTTTCTCCATATTTTTCCAATGAATTTCCTTATTGCTTAATTCAGCCATAGCAACCCCATTCCCTTGATATATTTACACATATTCCAGTCATGTTTAGCCTTTACAACAACTTTACAGGTGAGGTGAGAAAACTGATTTTCAGATGTTAAAATAATTTATTCTTGGTTGTATAAATAGTTAATGGCAGAACTGAAATTTGAATTTGGAGTTGTTAGGATTTATGCCTTTCCTCTTTTTAAATTTTTTTAAAGATTGTTTTTTATTTACTTATTTGAGAGAGAGAGACAGTAAGCAAGAGCACACAAGCTCAGGGAGAAGGAGAGGGAGAAGCAGAATCCCTGTTGAGGAAGGAGCCCAACACAGGGCTCGATCCCAGGACCCTGAAATCATGACCTGAGCCGAAGGCAGATGCTCAACCAACCAAGCCACCCAGGTGCCCCTTTATGTTTTTCCTCTTTATTATGTTACTACCAAATCTTAGAAGTCCACATGTTACTTGAATCTAAAAGATACCAACCAAAGACACCCATGGCAGCTGCATTCACCATAACCATCCACCCATTCATTCACTTAACAAATACCTAAATATATAAATATAGGCACATGCACAACTAAGAATGGGGAACAAAAAACTGGTTCAGCTAGTCACTTCCAGTGGGTTATTTACATTCCTCTGGGATGCTAATTGTTCAGTTTTATAGACTGAAACAATATTGGAATCAGTTAAATTTAAGCAATATAAAAAAACATAATATAATATAAAGCCATATGGTTCAGACAGGATAAGAAAAATTCAGCTCATTAAGTTAGAAACAGTTTCTACTTGATTTAAACCTTCAGTGGTAACTCTTCACTACAATGACTTCTGAAGACATAGAAAAATAGCTTTAAGTCCAGTCTTTGAAATAAACTAAAGAATGATGGAATAGTTTCTCAAATTCCAATCATTTGCATACCACAGTCAAGATTTCTGCCTATGGTCTGTGTACTAGCTATATGTTCTTTAAATCAATTTCTATTTAAAATATTTTTAAGGAAACTTTATATTGCTACTTTAAATGAAAAACTGATAATACAGAAATAGAAAGTAACTATAGGAATACAGTGAGATGGTCATTAAGTTTATCAAGGTAGCATTACAATGGAAAGCTCTGAGCCTGAAACTTGATCTGCTCTTTGTTGGAGAGAGATTAGCAAGTGTTTGGCAGGTGTTAGAGACCTACTAGTTCCACACTAATTTTTCTCTTGGAAATAATCAGAAGGACGGAAAGAGCTTCTGAATGGAAGTAATTTTCTCATGACATGATTCAGTGCTATTTAATACTGTGTTTGCATCCCACCAAACAGCTTCTTGCAGACCACAGAGTTATATGTTCTAGAAATGTGGGGACATCCAGGGAGTCAGGGGACTGTGAATGCATTATGTGTGGAGAGAACTGTTGGAAACAGCTTCTAAGTCTGTATCTGACATTTTTATTCATTCAATCATCGACTAATATGTACTAAACACCTACCATGTATCAGTCATTGTGCTAAGGGCTGGGGATTCAATGGTAAGACCCTCACTTCAAAGAGAAAGTAAAGTAGGTAAAAAAAGAAGAAGATAATTAAACAAACTGTGTTATATAATAGAGGACCCAAGAGATGCTAAGTGCTAGACTCATAGGGAGAGGGATCATTTTTTAAATCTCAAGAGGTCACCCATTCTCTCAGGAATTCTAGAAGGCTTATTGTCTGTTATAGGCTGTCAGTGATTACTCATTTCCTTTGGTGAGCATCAGTTGAAAATAGCTATCATATAAGGAATGGAAACCGGAAGATACTTGAAGACTACAAGGACATAATAGCAAAGTGTGCTGTGATGTGGAAAGAATAAAATGAATGTCAGAAAGAACGTTAGAGATTGGTCTAATCTTTTCCTTTTATAGGATATAGAAGCCTATGATTTCCTAGAGTTAGAGGCTGAAATGAGATTTAACCTGGATCCCCTGACATCCAGTCCAATGTTCTTTGTACTATAGGACATACGTAAGAAAGGAATCTTGAGAGGTAAGGATATTTATGTTTATTCCAAAAAGATACTCTGGAGCATTCCCAGTAAATAAGTACCAATGAAACAAAACAAACAAAACAAAACAAGAACCCAAAAAAAGAAATCAAGATTCTTGTGTAGTAGACAGTAAAATGATCACATTTTAAGAAAGATTGAAAGGGGAATATTTAAAGACAAATATAACACATATTATGGCTCTAAGATAAACTGTTGTCTGAGCCATATTAAAATACTTTTATTGAGAAACACTTAATGATCATATTAGCAGGGAAATATGAATGGCTTACTATGGTTATAAAAACAACTTTAAAGCTAATCAGCATAAAGGGTTTCCTCTATAGAGTTGCAGTTTTATCATGAGGGAGAAATTACATTCTCTCTCCAGTGGTCTTTGGTATCACTGCATTGAGAGAGCTTGGAAAGAGGAGGCAAGGGAAAGCCCTTTGTGGACAGGTAATGTACTATATGCCTCTTTGTTCCTCATACTTATCATATACATTAAGAAAAGTAGGTGGTTTTGAAAGTATAAGAGCATTTACCCCATTATCTAATTTACACTAGAGCACACTGGTTAAGGAGGAAAGTCAAGAACACTATTTTTTTGAACTTCACCCACTGACCATCAGCAGGATTACCCTGGGGCATGTAATTCATGAATGAAGAACAGTAGTCTCTGTCAAGTCAGCGGACTGCTGAATTCTACTATATAAGGATTCTATGGGAGCTCTGGACCTGGATTTTTAGCTGTATCATCTTTGTATTCTTTCCTGTTCTTTGCTAGTAAATACTCTCTTGAATTCATTCTAAACTATTTTTTTATTCAGAATTAAATTTTCCATACCCAATGGCACATTTTATTGAAATATGTTGTTCAAATTCAGTTGTATTAAAGATTTCCCTAGAGAATCCTAATGATACTGCCTTGAAAATGAAAAAAAAAAGTGTATTGTCTTGCTGTCTAAATTCTTGAAATTAAACCATTTAAGTGGCTGACCCAGCTTGCAATTACATGCTAAGCCAAACACTTTGATCCTATCATGGGAATGAAAACTAGTGAAATAGAATATACCTGTGAAGCTTGAGAGTGACAGTTCCATAAACAGTAGCAAAACCGAGAAGACGGACCCATCTGAGGAGAATACAGCGAAATGTGCTTGGCTCAAAGTACAAAATAACAACCTGTGGGATGAGAACAGAAAGAAAGAGACCTTCAGGATCAACTGATGACCCATAGGCTAAAATCGATATTTCACATATGAATTTTGACATAAGCACACATCCTTTTAAATAACACTTTAAAATATTTTGATCATTCATGGTCCAAATCAAAAGACTACAGTCTCCCTATTGCTTTCAAATCAAAGCTAAGTTCTTTGATTCTGACTCTCAGGAGTTTCTATCAATTGTCTCTAAGCCTTTGGCACATTCAAACTTAACTCTCTTTGTTTCCCCAGATGGGCCAGCCAGGCTGTCCTCCATTGTCATACTCCACTGGAGCCTTGCTGATTCCCATCTCCATACTTCCAGCAGTACCCTTCCCCTGTCTGAACCAGCCCTGAGAGGATCATCCTGTATCGTACTTCCCAGTCAATCCACCACTTAGTACCTGGCTCAGTCGCCTCACTAACTCTTCTCTTCTCACTCCAGAGTTCTCACTGAGCAAATATTAATTAAACATTTACCATGAGCCAGGTACTATACTAGATGCTGTAGATACAAAGGCCAATAAGAGAAGAGAGACCTGTAAACGAGGAATTGCATTAAAGTAGCAAAGGTGCTGTGATAAACATCTGGCAGGTTCATTGGGACCCAAGGAACAAGTGGTCAATTCTGGGCGGGGGTGGGGGCAGTCAAAAGGCATGTGCAAGGCACTGTATGTGTTACCTTTCATATGATACTGGTGGTTTTGAACAAGCCCTCATAGAACAGGAATAGGTTTGGCCCTGCTCAAGAAATCTAAAGAATAAATGTTGTTGAAGAATGTAGACTTTTACTCTTATGCTGGAGCGGCAGGCCTAAACTGATTTTTCTGAAAAGAAGGTCATCATAACAGAAAAATATACTCACTCCTAAAACTCTGAGTATTATTTTAGGTTTTATTTTTTTTTAAATCCCAAAGATATAAATATTGGGAAACAAAGCATAGCTGGGTGACATGGGGTGGGTGCTGACATTTTCTTGTTGATATCTTACCAGTGGGGCCCTACTCTCCAACAGTGCCAGGAACGACATTACCGACAACTCTCTGATGGTATTTCTCAAATAGTTCTACCTTATAAAGATATTAAACTAGGTACTTTCAACACCATTAGAATTAAATTCTCAAGGAGTGGCAAAAAGGCTGGTATTAAGAAGAAATCAAAGGAAGGTAAAAATAGGTGTGGCCAGGAGATAATGTTGCTTTATGTATATGTAGTATTTGTCCTTAATTTTCTAATTCATTAGGTCTATGCTGAAAGATACAGATAAAGATGTGATTTTAAAATTCATTCTACCAGGAAAGTACTTGGAGTTATCCAAGAATTGATACAAAAACATTTCCTTTATTTGCTATTTTCACAAAGTAAGTTAAATTCTGTAAATGTGTGTTCTAGGTTTTAGCTCATGTATTTTATTTATTTATTTATTTATTTATTTATTTATTTATTTATTATAAAGATTTTATTTATTTATTTTGACAGAGAGAGACAGCGAGAGAGGGAACACAAGCAGGGGGAGTGGGAGAGGGAGAAGCAGGCTTCCTGCCGAGCAGGGAGCCCACTGTGGGGCTTGATCCCAGGACCCCAGGATCATGACCTGAGCCGAAGGCAGACGCTAAACAATTGAGCCACGTAGGTGCCCCTAGCTCATATATTTTAGAAACAGTCCCTTTACACAAGAGTCCAGCAGTAATTATAAGTTCTGCAAAATAAGCTGTATTGTTTAGTAAGGAATATGAGCTGAAGGAAGAAGGGAAAATTTAGGGGAAAAAAAACAAATGGAGAAAACTGGTAGAAGATTAAGAGGTTAGGGGATATGTGTTCCTTCTCATGGCAGAGAGAAATGACAGATTAGAAACTAGTGAGAGAGAGACCTAAAGTCTAGAATATACAAAAATCTCAAATATTTCTACTAGAAATGACTTTAGAGTTTATTCTAACACAGTGGGTTCCTGGAATCTACAAAATCCTGTGACTTATTACAAAGTTTTCCATTGCACACCGAACAATGATTAAGGGCATGAATAAGCAAAGGTGAAGAATGTGAGACAGAAGTTGGAATATTTGGAGGAAAGGATTGCTCTTGAATTGTTCAGGAACTACTGTTATAGCTTCAAACTTTTATTTCACAAATGAAGAATTTGAGGGCTTGTTATTGTAAATGAGTCGGTCAGAAATAAATGTTATCTTCAAGATAAACTATGTGAAAAGTCCAATTAGGATTCACTAATCATTGTGACTCTGATTCACTCATTCACTATTTATTTAGTCTGCAATTTAGAAGCCATTATAATAAATCAGATGTGGATTAGGTCCTCAAGTTATAGTTTAGAAGAGTGGATGCTCCGTGTACATGATAAAAATAATGCCATGATCATACCAAATATTTATACAGCACTATTGCTAGACACAAAATTAAGCATTTTTACAGTATTTACTTATTTAATCCCCACAATACCTTATACAGTAGGACTGTTTCTTTTGCAACAGAGGAATGACACACAGAGAATTTAGGAGATGTGCTCAGCATCACACAGCCAGAAAATGTCAGGGCTAGGATCTGAATCCAGGCAGTTGACTTCCTGAGTTCATGTCTTGCCTCTCTAAATAGTTCTACCACATGGGGGAGGTGACAAATGCTATTATACTGTGAACTGAATCATACTGAGGATTCAGAGAAAAGAGGAATTACTCTCAGTGGAAACAAGTGAATTATCGTGGGAGGGTTCACATCTGAGTAAGGACCTGGAGGAGGAGAGGGTTTAAGTATGTAAGCAAACAGGAAAGGGGGAGGGAGCCCAAAACAAAGGCCTGGTTGTGGGAAAGCTTCAAGAGTGTGGAGTGCATGGTTATGGACAGGAAGACATAAAGGGGAGTACTAAAAACCAAGCTTTAAAGATTTTATTTATTCATTTGACAGAGAGAGACACAGCGAGAGAGAGAACACAAGCAGGGGCAGAGGGAGAGGGAGAAGAAGGCTTCTGGCCGAGCAGGAAGCCTGATGCGGGGCTCGATCCCAGGACCCAGGGATCATGACCTGAACCAATGGCAGACGCTTAACGACTGAGCCACCCAAGCTTTGAAACAGAGGTGGGACCAGTTCACTGTAAGCTTTAAATAAAAGGGTGAGGAATTCAGATTTTATTCCATGACCAAACATATCATTAAACTTCTTTAAATTGAGATCAGAAGTGTGTTCCTGGGAGTTAATCTGGCAGCATCACACGAGATGACTGGATGCTATGGAAGGGGAAGATATTGAAGGTGAGAAGGCCAGTTAGGAGAAATCACAACAAAACAAAACGAATTCATCATCTTCCTCATCGAACCTTTTCCTTTTCTTACGTCTTATTTTAGCATCCTCCTTTACTCTAGTCCCCAAATGCTTCTGCTTCCTTAACTCAGGGTTCTTATGAAAAAGTCTAAATTATTATTTTTTTAAAAGACTATTTATTTGAGAGAGAGGGGGAGAGAGCGCGCATACGTGTGCACAGGGGGTGGAGCAAGGAGGAAGGAGAGGGAGAGAGAGAATCCCAAGCAGACTCCACACTGAGTGACCTCAACCAAAATCAAGAGTCGGATGCTTAACCAACTGAGCCACCCAGGTGCCCCAAAAGTCTAAATTATTTAGGATGATAGATACCAGCTTACTTCTATTACATCATTACTTTACACCTACTCACACCTTCCGATCCCTGCATATGCTGTCCCTTCTGACTGGATGTTCCTCATACAATCCCACTGTCTCACCTGTACCTGGCTTACTCCTATTCACCTTTCAGGCTTCAGTCTAAATCACTCCTCCTCTAGGAAGAGGAAGCTTTCCTTCCCTGTGGCTTAGCACACCGTCCCTCACTTGATCATAGCACTGGATCCACAGCACTGCATTCGATTTGTAAGCTTTGTGACAACCATGTTTATCATGTTCAATTCTGTAATACTGGCACTAACTAACTAAAGTCCAGGCACACAAAAGTGCTCATAAATATGTTGAATGAAAGAAAAAATACAGCTGTAGGAAAATGGTAAAGAAGGACATAACTACTGTAGTGAGAATGGGAATTCAGGCATTCATGAGAACAGAGGAAAGAACATGCTGAATCAAGAAAATTGGGCAGGCAGCTGATTATTTGTTGAGGCAAAAGCGAATAAAGTGTCAAAAATAATGTGAAGATTTTAAGCCTGGGTGACTGGAAGGATGATTGTGTTTAGAAAGAAACAGATAAAATAAAAAAAGATGCATCAATCTGAGTATAACTAAGCTCTACTTAGAAACCTCCTCACCCCACTTCATCCTTCATGTCTCAGCTCAGAGTTGGCACTCCCCAGACTGAATCAGGTTTCCATCTTATCTGCACACTATTTACTTGTATTGAATTCTGAGCTTTCCTTCATCACACTTATCAACTCTATTTTGATATAATTGTTTCTGTAATTCATTTGTTAAATATTTCGACTAGTTAGTTTGTAAGTTGCATGAGGGCAGGGATTGTAACTATCTTTCTCATGATTGCATACCCCTTCCCTAGTATTGTACCTGCCAACAGTAGGTAACCAATCGTAGGTAACCAAGGAAAGAAATTTTCAAAAAGGAAGGGAAGGAGGGAAAGAGAGGGGAAGGAAGGAGGGAGAAAAGATGGTTAAGTTTATTTTTTGATATATTGAGTGTAAGTTGTCTATACAACATCTAACCCAGATCTAGCTTTTTAGTAGTTAGTATACTCCATAATGAGAAAGGGGAAAAAAAAAAGATGAGGAAGTTTCAATATTTTTCAAATCTCAGTATTTCAACTTTTCTTGTTAAATATAATGTATATAAATGTATAGATTACAAATTATTGTAAATATCCCTTCCCAAAGTCCAAATTAATGACAAGTTTTATAACAAACCTTCATAAAGGAAGAAATGGAGAAAACCTAAGCCACTGGGCTAAAGAATTTATGAACGATGATGATAATACAAATAGCTGCCATTTTATG